GTGTGTGTGTGTGTGTGTGTGTGTGTGTGTGTGTGTGTGTGTGTGTGTGTGTGTGTGTAATTAGAAAACGTGACAACTTTTGTTTTTCTTTTCCTAAATGATTTGTTAGAGAAACAGACGATTTAGTCATAAATAAAAAGACAGCAACTAGAATTTACAAAATAATATCCGAGTTTATTTTGGGATAACTCTCTACAATACGTTTGATATATACAAGCCGTGTCATCAGATTTTGTACAAGCTCTTGCAAAAACAGAAATGCGAGTCATTCACAGACACTGACAGAAACAGGATTGTAACACTGCTGTCAGTTCCAGGGCAAGTTCAGGCAAATCTTTCTATTTCTATGGATCATTCATAACAAAAAGGAAGAAAGAAAAAAGAGACGTCCACAGCTGCTCGTCTCAGAGTTCGAGTTTCACCGCAGTCACCACAAAAAAACAGAAGAAACACATGTAGCTATATATTGAGCCAATGGCCGAGGCATGGCAGCTTATACAGGACAACATTATAAATAAGATGAAATGATGATTTCTCCGTAATCGCTCTAACAGGTTTTAATCTTCTACAGTGCAACATTGCCATCACAGACTATGAGATCTGGTTGTCTCCATCCATCCTTCCCAGAGTTTGTTCATCTATGAAAAAGCAGAAGATTCATTGATTAGCCGGTGCACAGGGAATAACTTTTAAAAGTCACATGTGATGGAGTGAGGAAATCGCTTCGTTCTCACCTCATTTACTGTTGCTTTTTCTTGTTCACGATATTGATGAGATTTCTCACCCATGGTTTCTGGCTGGGGTGGATGACACACAGAGTTCTGCCACTGTTGGTAATGAACCTGAAAAAGCCGATGAGATGATGACGTGAGATGAGGCAAATACAGGTAAACCAGGCACTGTGGGTCTTTAGGAAAGCATCCCTGCACAAATACACTCACTACTTAATACATATGCATGAATGTTGTGCACGTGTTTGACACTTACACAGTAGCGCTTATTTCACAGCCTTTCCCAGCTTCCTGAATGATGTAGTCCACGATGTTTTTGGAGGGCAGACGTTTGTCGATAGCTTGCAGACAGCAGTCCATTGCGATCTCACCTGCAGGGAGAAATTACAAGAGAAGACTTGTAAGGACACACACCAATGTCAGTTTAACAGGCAGAAGAGTATTATACATGTGATAGTCTAAATCTGAGAGATGTCATGCAGTCTGCACCTGTTTTCTCTCTGTCTTACCTGATGCAAAGCTAAAGCAGAGGACGCCCAGCAAGAGCAGAGCTGCAACTCGGGAAGCCATGTCTCTGATTCTTCGTAGGTTTGCTGCGGCTTGGCTGCTTGAGCGAGTCTCTTCAGGAGAGCAGAGGAGGCGATGGTGTGAGGAGGAGAACTACAGGTGCATTTATACAGGTGAGCAGGCGAAACTGAAAGTGTTCTCTCGGCTCATTGACTGGAAATGGGTGAAAGTTGGCACAACAACAAGGAAATGTTGGCACGTGGCAGGACAATTACAGCTTAACTCCTCCTGACTTTTGGTTTTCTTGCCAAAGAAACTTAACGAGTATTTTTTTTTGCCCACATGCTTTCCTGACACCAAGCAGGAGTCAGCACTTTTTTTCATGTATGTTTTGTGCAAATGTTACAAAAAAGGAAAGATTTTGCAATCAAATAAATTGGAGTCTTCTGATTTTTGGGAAAATAAAAGTCTGAGGATTAGCTTGTATCAGTCAGTGCAGGTGACCCACTAGTGCAAGACAAAGAGCAGTGACTCTGAGATTCTCTGCAACTAATGTGAAACTGGACGGAAACATTGCAACATCCATCCATCTTCATCCCCTAAACAAAGTCAGGTCACCTGAGCCTATTTTCCCTTTCACAGGGTGAGAAGCACACTAGTGTCTGCTCAAGTGGAAATCCTGGAGAAAGCTCAGGCATGTGTAATTTAAGCTTCTATTAAGCAATATTAAAAAGGGGGGAACTAGCTGATATCTGCATCCACAGCTGTGCTGCTGCATCATGACTGCAAATTGTTTTTAGGCTATTTTGGTGCACTACACTACAAAGTAACAACAACATATCAAAGCAGGTTAACACCACACATTTCTGCAAAACCAAACAATTCTTGCAAAACTTATATAGCTCAGGTATTTGCATCATTGAGTGGATGAGCACATGGTGCACCAACTACACAACATGGTTTATCATACATGGAGGGAACACTCAGACACAAAGTTATCAGATTTGGTTCATAACACAAAAGCAGTCAAATGGGAAGCTAAGAAGTCTTTTGTGCATCATTTGCTTTCAAACATGCTCGAAACAAAAAAAGGTCTCACTTGTGATGCCACGTTTGACTCTGAAGTGAGCTGTGTTTGAACACATTCAGTTTTCACACTGGCTGCATGTCAGCACTGGCAGAGCTTCGAGAATTCTGTGCTCATTTTACCTCATTAAAGCTTTAGGTTTATTTTACAGCTTTTAACAATATTGACTTCAATTAGAAATTAAGTATTATTGTAGTTTTGTGAACCACTGGACACTCATGGAGACTACACTTGCACCGACGGGCAGCTGACCCATATGGAAAAGTAAAAACTTATGGTAAATGGCCTGCATTTGTATAGCGCTTTTCTAGTCCCTAAGGACCCCAAAGCGCTTTACACTACATTCAGTCATCCACCCAGTCACACACACTTTCACACACACTTTCACACACTGGCATTGTAGCCACAGCTGCCCTGGGGCGCACTGACAGAGGCGAGGCTGCCGGACACTGGTGCCACCGGGCCCTCTGACCACCACCAGTAGGCAAACACGGGGTTAGTATCTTGCCCAAGGATATTTGGCATGGGATCGAACCACCGACCTTCTGATTAGTGGCTGACCTGCTCTGCCACCTGAGCTACAGCCACCCCTGTATGGAAAAGTAAAAACTTATAAAAGACTTGCATAAGATGTGGCCTACTTCATATCGTGAATCATATAAGGCTTATATGATTTACTCATGAAAGTGGCCACTTTCATATATTGATTTAGTAAGTATGTGTTTTCACTCTTGTATGCTTTTCATACAAGTTTCACACAAGACAGATACAAACTTTATTAGATTTATATATATCTTTTCCATATGGGGAGAAAGATCATTTAAACTAACTTTGCACTGTGGGAAGAAACCTGGAGAAAACCCAAGAGGCACAGATGGAACAAAAGGCCCATGGACATTCAGGCCTTCTTCATTTGAAGAAACATTTTCAAGGCTGTCTTGGCCAAGATAAACAGCAGTTCAACCAGCCGTGATTCCACAAACAGCAACACATGTGCAAATGCACAAAAAAGTTTATTTGTGCAGAAGATCAAGAGTGAGATTCAGAAACAGGGAGAATATAATATTTAAAGCTACGAATATTGTTGGCCGAACAGGGGCAAGAATGTTCAAGCAGAGTCTCCTATAATGTCCTTAAATGTATTTATTGAAATCTATTCTTTGCAGATGGATCTGCAAATTTAAATACCTTTTTAAAATTATTCAGTGTTGCCTTTAGGGCCTTTTTAGCTTTAGGTGCATTAGATTTGAACAGAATTGTCGTCCACTACACTGAGGTGTGAAGACCTGCATAGTGATAGTATCATTTTGTGGTTTGGGAAACTGCTCTCCCAAACCATGCTCTTGGCATGTCTACACAAAGATATCAGTCTACAATTCCAACACAAACAATTGCATGAAGTGGAAAGTTGTAAATATCTCATCTTAATCTTGTCTTTACAGTAATAACCCCAAACTTTAGCCGTTGGGATCCGTCTATTCGCTGTGCGGTTCGGGGATTTTTCATGGAATGCGTACGGGCAATCGCTTTATTGTGTTCTCTTCTGGGTGTTTATGCTTGTGTGTGCATGCATCCAACACTAGATCTCGATCTGGGAGAGCAGGATTTGCTGCACAAGAGCAGCCAAACCTTTCCCGCCAGAAAAGAGGGTTTCGCCAGGAGTGATGCAACTTTTACAAAGCCTGTGGAGAGACGCAAAGCTTAACTTGTTTCACAGGAAGTAGTGTAGACCGGTTTCCCCATTAATCTTACTGTTTATTTTTTTTCCTTGTCTCCACTAGTTGCATTCGATGAATCAAGATGATCCTACCTTAAGATTAAGGAAAGTTATTATCTTGGTTTTGTGGCCTGCAGCTTACAGCTTTTGTTTAGTCTGATCTCTCTAAAAAGCTTCCTCCTCAGATGTATCGGGCTTGCTTCATATGGTAAATGGCCTGTATTCGCATAGCGCTTTGCACGTACAAATGAACATTTAGAATAAGAAGATCACATTGTGTAAAAAAAGAATAAAGTCAATACCTAAACACCATTTGAACCATGTATGAAAACAAAGAGTTTGCAGAATAAGAGCCAGCATGTTGCATAAAACACTGTAAACTCTGCATAAATGCTCCCATTGGATTTCACCTGCCAAGCAACCACATCTTGAGAGTTTTTGTGCGTTGCAAAATTTAAAATAAGATACTCATGGTCCCGTCTGTATTCCCCCCAACTGTCTCACAGTTCCTTATACACAAACATGAAAATGGTTTAAATCCTTTTTCCAAAAAACATTTTGTGTGTTCATGTTGGTAAACGTTTCACTTCCTTAAATCTGCGTGTTGACCTTCTGAAGTTTTACACATACATGCAGAGTTAATGGTCATGTGTTTATGTTGTTGTGAAAGAAGCTGTGAGTTCTAAAAGCACCACATTTCATTACAAAGAAATGAGTCAGGAGGAAGTTTCTCCAGTTCAGCACCCAGGCTCTTCTGCTATGAAGCCATGCTCGAGTAACAGATGCGGTTTAGCATCTTGCCAAAAATCAGAAAGACGACTTCTGTGCACGGGAGCATGTTTGTCTAAAACTTTCTAGCATTAATGGTGCCTTTTCCAGTTTGTCTCAGTCCATTTTAAAAGACGTTGGCTCAGAGAAGATGGCAGCATTTCTGGATCATGTTCAAATTTACTTGCAATTTACTTGCATTTGAGAATAACATGGACAAATGTGTTAATAGACAGAGGTTTTTGGAAGAGTTTCCGTGATAGAATTGTGCCAGTTTTTAATATAGTGCTGCCTGAGGGGCCAAAGATCACAAGCATCCAACATCGATTTTCAACCTTGTCCCTTATTTCTTTAGACTCTCAAAATCTTTTGATGGTATTATGTACTGTAGATGACGAGATAGAGAACAAATCAAATGTTTAGAGACTTTCGATTTGTTCTGTTGTGGAAAAAATCTGGGTTTGTGAGATTTTGTTTTTATTTTCATCTCACACAATGTCTCAATTTTTTGGAACTGGGGTTGTTTTTAATTGGAACAAGAGAAGCAACAGAAAATTTCCCTTGACCACTCGTGGTTTCTGTTATATTGTTGCTGAGGGAAGTACTTCTTGCAGCACATGAAGTAATTCAATCAATCAAGCAATATTTACACAAATGCCCTGGCTGGAGCCAGAGCATGCAACCTTTCTCTGTAGCTTAGCAAATATTAATATTAATATTAATACCAGCAATAACGCCTGCACTACCCACACAGCAAAATCCACACATGACTGTTTAAAACTGCAAAACGGAGTCTTTGCCAAAAGTGAGCGTTAAGAGTACCAAAAGATATTTCTCTTCCCATTCATTGTTCCGACATTCCAAACTGATGTTTAGTTAGTCATAGACAGCCGCAGGCCCTGCAGGCTCCCATGCAGCCACATATCAGGTGTGAAACATCAGCTGTGTCGTCGTACCATGTGGGAACGTAGACAGAGCGGAGATTGATGGAGTGTATCGATGTGTATCTGGATGTCTCAGAGCGAAACTAACTTAAGGTTTGGATCCGAGCCTGCTCGCAACTCAAAAACTTTAACATTTCACTCCACACCTGTTTGGTGTTTTGGGCTCTGGCCCTAATTAAACACTTCCTAAGGATCTGTCTTACCAAGTGTAGACTTATACAAAGTACACAGGCTGAGAGTGACAGCTTTAAGTGTCAAAATCATAGATTTGTTTGCTTTTGCAGTATTAAGGGAGGACAAACATGACCGTTCTTCCTCATAGGCATACATTGTTTTTTAGCCTTTATTTCGAGAGTGGACAGGGCAGTAGGGTGACTCAACCACTGGGTGGCCTTGAGTTTCACATCTTGCTAGTATTTCTATGTTACTCTGACTCACGCAGCTCTTACATTGAAAAATAAAACATTAGTCTGTAAACTGAGATACTGAAGCTGAGATGATCACAACATCAATAAACAAGAGTGACCTGTTTCTGCTGACAGCCATAAATGCCCGTAACATAGCACAACATTGCCTCCTCCATGTTTAACAGATGATGTGATACGATTCGGA